GGGGGAGCCGGGGTTAATGGGGGAGTGGACTCACAGAGTGCAGCAGCCTGGCGAAGGAAAGACCGATCCACGGGCGGGCCAACCTGGGCAGGGTCTGGCAGGCGCCTCAACTGACAGAGGCTTTGGGATGGCCCTCCTTGTGCCAACACCACAAGGCGTGGGCAGCCCTTGGAATCAGGCACATGAGAGCAGCGAGATTTTTCAGATGCCCTGGGGGGGAATGGCCAGAGTCCCTAGCCTGTTGGACAGCTGGACCTGGTTAGTGCTGTGAGCGGCTGTCGGCCCTCCCTGTCTCCTTTAGTGCTCCCTGACTGGCACGTGGGTGAATGAGGTGGGCTCCAGGATGGTCGTCTCTTCCATCGGTGGTGACGGGCGGTTCACCGGCTCCTTCCAGGATACAGTCTCTGCCACCAACAACACGATCCAAACCTCACCTGTGTTTGGAGTCCAGCACAAGTCGGCCCAGCCTGTCTTTGGCTTCACAGTCAACTGGAAATTCGCTGGTATGGGCACTTACAATTTGGGGTAGAAGCCAAAGGAATGGGGGGAGGGAACCTAGGGGATCTCCCCTTCCTTAGATTTCTGCTTCTTGCCAGTTTCTTTCACTGAAAGTTCCTCCCCTCATTAGCTGGAGCTGCCCAAAGACTTTGAAGGCCATAAGACCTCCCCCATCTATGGAAAATATCACACACACGCACACACCTGACTGCTATACTACCTTTGACCTGCAAATGAGTAGCCTCTCACTGATTCCCCACCTCAGAATCTACCACCGTCTTTGTGGGCCAGTGTTTCCTGGCTGCCGACGGAAAGGAGCAACTGCAGACAACCTGGCTGCAGCGTGATAAGGAGGGATCCCTGGCAAATGGTTTGAAGGCAACCTGGTAAGGAAAAGTGGGGCTGAGCCATTGTGCTTCCTAACAAGGAGGCACTAGGAGTCTTTCTGGGGCACCCTTCCCCCTCCCAATCGGCAAGCCCCTCTGCCTCTTCTTTGCTCTCCATGCCCCCCTTGAAACAAAGTTCAGTTGGCTTGGGTCCCTCAGAGAAGTTCCAGCACCCCGGGCTGACCCAGAGAGGGACTTCGGAAAGACTTCCCCTTGGCCACCCCCTTTGCATTGTCACAAGAGTGGGTGAAGGGGGGAAAGATGGGGGCGTGGGGTGGGGTGGGGTG